AGGAAGGACGACCTACCTGAGAGCTCCCACCGGGAGAAAAGGCAAGAGCTGGGGTTGAGCTCTCAGGACGAACTTATGGAAGTTGAATTGATAGAAGGAAGTTCAGACTAGACAACTAAAGTGGGTCAACATTTGGCGACCGACGTACAAGGTGCGCTGATTGCACTGTTGAAGGAGTTTGTGGATGTTTTTGCCTTCTCGACCAGCGACCTTACAGGAATCGATCCCGAAGTAGCGGAGCACATGTTAAACATCGATCCAACCATGAAACCAGTGAAGCAAAAGAGGAGGCACTTCGGTGCCGAGCTGGACGTGGTTATTGAGACAGAGGTGGAGAAGTTGTTAAAGGCGGGACATGTGCTACCCATTCAGTTTCCGGAGTGGTTGTCTAACTCAGTCATGGTAAGGAAGGGAGAAGGAAAGTGGAGGATGTGCATAGACTTCAGGGATCTCAACAAAGCGTGCCCCAAAGATCACTACCCCTTACCTCGTATTGACCAGCTCGTCGACTCTACAGCTGGGTGCGAGCTGTTGAGCATGATGGACGCATCCCAGGGGTACCACCAAATACCTCTCGCCAAAGAGGACCGGAAGAGGGTTAGCTTTGTGACATCCAAGGGCACCTATTGTTACGTTGTCATGCCTTTCAGACTGAAGAATGCAGGAGCTACCTATCAACGGTTGGTGGATAAGATGTTCAAAGGGCAGATTGGCAGGAATATAGAGGTCTACGTTGATGACATGCTAGTAAAGAGCAGGAAGGCGGGTGATCATGTGGTAGACTTACGCGAGACCTTGAGTACCTTGCGGCGGTACGGCATGAAGCTCAACCCGGCCAAGTGCAAGTTCGGGGTAAGGTCAGGAAAATTTCTGGGCTACTTGGTCACAGAGAAGGGCCAAGAGGTCAACCCAGAGAAGGTACGAGCTGTTTTGGAGATGCAAACGCCGAGGAACTTGAGAGAAGTGCAGATCCTCACCGGTCGCCTAGCCGGGTTAAGCAGGTTCATAGCTCAATCCGCAGAGAAGAGTTTTCCATTTTTTAAGGCTTTGAAGAAGGGGTCGCGTTTCGAATGGACGCCACAAGCACAGCAGGCCTTTGAAAGGTTGAAGGAGTTTCTAGCTGAACTCCCCTTATTTACAAAACCAGAACCAGATGACACGTTAGTGGTATACCTGTCGGTGGGGCATGAAGCAATCAGTTCGGTGCTAATAAAGGAGGATCATGGACAACAAAAGTCGATATACTATGCCAG